CTCGGAAGTGTGCAAGGCTAGGCAGAAAGGTTGAGACCCTTACACAGGTGTGCCTGCTAGCCCGCCGCCAAGTATACGGAGAGGGATACGGGAGAGCGAAATAAATACAAACACTCAAAACAGGAAGGTACACGTACAAAAACGGGTAACAGCCCTGCGCCATTCCGAGGTAGAGCGCACGCACACACGCACACCCGCGGACGCGGAGTTTAAAAAAATTTGCACGCCCGCGGCCTTTAATAAAAACAGCTTAGGCCCCGTCAACGCTCGCAGCAGGGCGAACATGGGTAGTTACGTCCTCCCCCCGCGAATATCAGTTTACCATTTTTTTTTTTTTTTTTTTTGCACAAGCCCAGGGACTACTCCCTGCTCCGCGGGAGAGGCTGACTCCCCTTCAGCGGAACAGAGAGGAGCTAGCGAAGTACAAAAGCGTCCTGCACTCTGACAGGCGAATTGTAAAGAATACAAAGAAACCGAGAGACAAAGCTTCAAAATGAATACTACCGGCAACAACCGCGACAACGCAACCCCTGTAGCAATTAGCTGTAAATGTTTTGGCGTGGGAGGTGGTGATGGAAAGGTGAAGAGCTTGAATGCCGTGATGGAAAGGCATCTGGAGAAGAAAACAAGCGGAAGCAGAGATTTATTTCATGATATGTTCACTATTAAAAATATCAGCTTTTAACAATATTCATGTTTGTGGTAGGCTATGCAGGCGAGCCCACTGTACCGTTGCATTGCACGAGCGTTTTACAACAACCTCGTACGTTTCAATCTAACAAAGTCCCGTGTTCGAACTTAACAAAAGTTGCTGATCGATGTTGCTGTCTGCAAGACGAGCAAGTGCAAAAGAGGGTAGGACTTTTGGGAGGTCAGTCTTGAAACCTACAAGTTCTTCTTTGTGAAAGTTGGATTCGTTGTTCAGTTTGAAGGAGGAGTTTGAGGTAGGGCAGGAGGAATAACGGTAAATTTTTGTGTATTTTTTAAGTGACCAATGTTCGGGATAGAAGAGTGCGTTCATGTCTAGAGACTAGTAACCTGTTCTCTTGTTGTAACTGTGGTTCTCTTCGTTCAAGTTCAGTCGCGGCTGTAGTTGGCCTCAGATTTCTTCGTGTATGAGGCCTTTTCCTTTGACTAAAGGTTTTGGGTTTTGCTTTTTGGACTGCAGCCTCGGGAACTAAAAACCGAATTAATGTCCACTAGCTTTCATGTACCCAACTGTTACCAAGCGAGGACCACACAAAATAAACCACGTGATAAGTGACCAAAACGTTAACGAGATTCTGCTCTTCGTAAAAACATTGTTTTTATGCTTCTACAATTTCCCTCTTAGAAATAAATTAAAAATTACCCCAGTGGCGAAAAAAAAAGAACGCCGTTCTTTATCCGTTCCAGTAAAAATGTAACGAGTTCCCGTTCCAGTTTCACCGATGCCAAATGGAACGGCGGCGTTCCTTTGTTCCTCCCCAAAGGAACGAGTTCCAGGAACGCCGTTCCATACAACACTGGACCGGGCGCACGCGTCTGGCTTAGCGCGCGCGCCAAGCCGAGACGCGCGTCTAGACGCCCAGAAAAACGCGCCATGTGGGTTAGAGTGACGAAAATGATCCCTGGAGAGGGGGAACAAGAAAGACAAAGGACAAACACAAATCTCCAAACACAGCTAGGTGACTGACCGAAAAAATCCGCCTGGTCCGGGTATCGAACCCGGGACCTCTCCATTACAGATGGAGCGCTCTACCAACTGAGCTAACCAGGGGTTAGGGACAGCGCGCCGGGACGCCGGAGACGGAAAGGATAAGAGGGAAAGGGAGAAATGCACATCACGGGCGGGAGCGGTGGAAAATACCCTTTGTGGGATTTTTGAGTGACTTCTAGCTTTTGACAACAAAAGTAACCGTTTCTGAAGACTCTCTTTGTCCTTTTGTAATGCTCCCTAGAAGCAATTATTGCACCCCTCCTATCCCACCCCGCCCAAGGTTTGCGAAGACGGCGATCAAGGTGGACCGCCTTCCCCTGATTGGCCGAAGGCCTCTCGGGCGCTCTCTTCGGATCTGGAAAAGATTAATATGTTCAACTTTGGGTCCGCAAAACGCCACGTCTACGTGACCATTGACGTTGATGTCACTCATCTGCCCCCAGATTTTTTCGGGAGTTCTGTTCGCCCTTTCTGGGGGATGTTTGGGACCGCCCTTTCTGGGGGATGTTTGGGACCAATTAAGAAAATTAGTTGCTCTTTTCTCATTATCAGTACATTTTGCTAGAAAGTGGCGATTTTTATAATTGGTTTATTAAATTTCATACCTGACGACTATGTGAAGACGTCTTTATTAGCACCGGAAGCTATGGTAATGGCACCAGGCCGTTATATATTTGAATTAAAAAATTCAGAGGGAAAACTCATATAGAACTGCCATGGTAGTTCAATGAGTGGCATAAGGTTTAAAAGCGCAAACAGTCAGGGACAATAGAAAATAACACAAACGACAGGGACAAGGCGCTTGTCCCTGTCGTTTGCGCTTTTAAACCTTATACCTACCATGGACCAACTAGCCCAAACCAAAATTTTAACAATAAGTGGCAGTTTTAATAAAGTTAGCGCATATGAAAGGTTAGGATACGACTGGACGCGATTTCCTTTGTGTGCGCAATGTTTAAAGTATAGTACTTACACGTTAGTGACCGCCCATGTTGCCGGTATGCCGCTGGGTCCTCCATTTTTCACTTCTCCCTTATTTTTTCAAACAGTTAACTTCGTCGTCCATCTCGGCATTTGGAACGTAATTTCAACACAGTATGCCGCTAGAATCAGGGCTCTCTCTCAGCCAAAAACATCGCAAAAACTTAACAAAACAATTAAAGACGAAACACAAATTCAGACGGAAAAGAATAAGAAAATAAATTCCTGTCTTGTGCCAACATTTTCACCTCTATAATTAGTGACTCCCCTGAAGAGGATGACACTGATAGCCAAGAAATTAAAAATCCAAAGTTTAAGAAAAAAAAAAAGGAATTACACAGCTTGAGTGCCAATGAGATACAGTGTTTGTAGGGCATAGTAGTGTTAAGCCCCCAGCAAGCTAAATAAAATGTGTTTGTTCTTTTCATAGACGGAAGACATTCGAATGAATAAGCCATAGATCACATATATTGGGGAGGGCAACAAAGTTGCCGTAGTGGACGGCATCAAAGGACGATTAGAACGTTATAATTTGCGAATTCATTCACTCGAGTATGCTTCCTATATTTTAGATCTTAACTTCATTAGGTACGTGCCAATCAGATATATCTAACCTGTCTTAAAGAATGGGTCTGAGGAGATGTTTGTTGTAAAGAAAGAATCTGCTACGAGATAGCGTGAAACTTTGAGTATCGATTACGGCATGCCCTATCCCTACTAAATTCAGAAGAAATGCGAACCCCCTTCTCCCCTTCAGGGTGCCACAGAACTGTCATCAAGATTAAAATCATTAAGGAACAAAAAATAGCGGTGCAAGTAGTCTGGTGCAGGTGCAACACGCTGAAGTTATACGAGAGTGGGTTTATTTGCGGACATGTCTCAAGCACAGCTGAACATTAATAGACAAAAGGGTCCCTAAATAGGCAACATGCAACATAAGACAAAAAGGGTGGCACGGAAAAACTATTTCCGCAATCACACTTCAGCTTACAAAGCCTCCACAAAGGGAACTCGTTCTCTAACCTTGCCCTTTATTGCACACAACCTTAAATGCACCGAAAGCAAGATAACAAATAGGAGTCACCAATTAACCGCCAAGTAATTGTGATCAAAGAGTCAACAAGTAATGACCATGAACATTCATATTAAAAATAGCGCAAAAACGACGGGACAAAAAGACGAAGAAGCACACAGGACAAGCGCTATTTAAGCATACTCTAAGCTTTTACCATGAACATACAACCTAGAAAATCCGAGTTCTTTTTTTATTTTTTTTTTTACTTCATAGAGTGTTGTCTAAACTTGATAGAGCACGCTTCATTCGACTGTATATTTTGGGCATTTCCGTAGAATAAAGACATTTTTCTAGACACAGGGCTCTTAAAGTCAGTAAAATAATTTTAAATATACACTGTGCATAAGTATATGCAGTATTATTTTTATCTATCACGGCCACAGTCATCGCTTGGCAACTTCGCATGAGAGTGATGCCGAGATGTTGAAGGTCTCCAGATGCATGATATATTTTGCTATAGGTGTCCTTGTCACAAGGAAGGAAAAATGGCACGTTAAGTGAAATTAATATTTATATTAACAGAGGTATGATATCAGGTATAATGAATGAAAGCTAAAATGTGATAAAGGACGGGGATATGCCAAAACGTAGCCGTTACGAAACTCGGACGGGAGGCGGTTTGCGCAAAATTGAAAAGTAATATATAGTTCACAAAATCTCATTCGCTTGATCACAGTATATTGCTTTTCTTTTCACATTAAATGTTACTTTCATATTACAGATATTACTATGCTCGTGCCAGACGTGCTGTGCTATTGTGTTTCTTTCTGTGTGTATCTGTCCTTTTTATTAACATGTGTAGGCACCAAGGCCAATAGGTTGTTCCTGGACACTATAGTAAACTTTGCTTTACTTGTTGATTTATCTGTAATTGCTATATTGCAATACATTTATTACCTTCAAAATATGGCGAAATTGGCATCGCCTCTTATGTCAGAATTTCTGTTGTTTTATCAGTTTTAAAGCACATATACCAAAATCTAGAACACATTCTAACCACATTCCGGTCAAGGTAAGTCCAATTATAATTCCATCTTGCAAATTTGATCAAACTTACATTCAAACACTCTATATAGACATTGAAGCCCGAGAAACCCAATGAACGCTTGCGTTGAAAGTTTCCATAGGTGTGCTCGTAAGCAATCGGGATTTAAAAGAAGCCTCAAAACAGTTTGTTTTCGAAGAGTGAACATACATTGTTTTGTGCAAACTATTTATTCTGGTTTGATTTTCTTACGAATTAAGGTTACTGCAGGGACAAGCTGGGAAAGTACGACATGCTTCTCCATATTCTCGCCGCCGTCAACTTTGTGGTTGCGTGTATGTGGACATTGAGGCTTCTGGTGCGACGACAAAGACAAACCAAGGAAGTAGATACAGCGCTTCATGAACGAGCAAATCGAACCGCGGGCGAACAATTTCCGACAGAAAACTCACATCATGCTACAACATACATATCTTGATCTTCTGTAAAAAAAAAGAAAATAATTCGAAAGAATTGCTATTGAAGGCAACGAAGCCTTTCATGACATCGGACATTCAAAGCCTACGATAGATTTTCCAATGAAGCATCTTATTCAAGAGAAACTGAAAGAAAACTCTACAAAGGGACGCGTGAGTGTGTGTGACGCCATCTTCAAGCGACAGTCTGCAATGCTAGTCTGGCAGTGTATTTTCTCGAACGGGCTTAGATAAACTTCTTAGTGAGCGCGTTGGTAATGATGTAGGTTTAGAAAGAGTTATATACGTAAAAACAGGGGACGGGACAACACATAGATACGACGCCGTTTCAAACAAGCCAGCCCAGTTCCCAACTTTCTGTCGTCCTCAGAAATCCAAGACGTCAGAATGCCCAAGAGTAAGCGACGGATTATGCGTTTCTACTGTATGCTCATGTTGTTCATGATTTTTATAGGTGTTAATAAAATCAGGTGAGACACCTGTTTATGTGGGAAAGATGTTCACCGAATGTGGGACGTTTGAGACCAAAAGGTAAGTACACTGTTCTACTCAGTGCAAACATGGCATCAGCGCCTTTTCGCGTTTGTTTAGGCAGAGTATTACCAAGCAGTAAAGTTGAGGAGCTGAGTTGATGCCCATAATTCCTAGTTTTCACCACACAAGTTTTTGTAATTAAAAGTTTCAGTTGTGAAAAAGAAAACATGTACACAAAATGACAATAGTATCTTTTTGCTAACTCTATGCACTTAATTTCTGCTATGTACACTTAAATATGACAATCACTCCTCGCTTTATACACTTCAACATGACATTCGCTTGTTTCTGCTAACTATATATTATAATTTGTACTAACTCTATGCGCTTAATTAAAAGCCTACATTTCTTTTCCACATGGAAGTGCGTACAGACGTAATTATTTTACAAGGGGAGGATCGCCCGCCTTGCTTAAGTATCTGGAGGCAAGGGGGCAAGGTTTAAGGAAGCTAGGGCTGTTAAGGGGGAACACTGGTCTTGGAGCTTCTTTCTTATTCTATGACCAAACCCATTGAAACTGCTTGAGCTTGTTCAGCTTTTTGTGCTGATTTCATATATCTGGTCGTTTTCTCAGTTAGGAGAATTGTCCTCAAAGTAATTAAAACTTGCCTGCCTCTGTTTGGAGGAACGATAGCAAAAAAACAGCTCAACAAAATATCCTTTTTAACACATGGCTAGATGCTAGAAAGTGTAGAGCATACAATGTTGGAAGTACTTTTATGATAAACCGACTATTAGCGATTTTACCACACATTGAAGTTCAGTGCTCAATGCATGGCTAACAAATCATAAAACAAAAGATTAAATAGAAAATTTTCTAGACTTTTATTAGAAAATCTGCTCTCAACATTGTATGCTTAACACATTTAGCTACACATTTCAGGAAAGGTTAAATTTCTATCTGCTCTGGATGCTGAGATATCCCTCCTGCAAATTTTTCATGAGTCCAAATATTGTGTCTTGTGAAAACAATGTTTTAGAGTCAACTTCAACTCACATTCAGCCCGCATAGACATTATTAGTTGATTTAGAGCCCAAATATTCACCCACGAAATTAGAAGCCTGGTGAATTCAGAAAAACAACAGCCATCGCCATTTTCAAAATAATACAGTTTTAGGATGTTTTTGGCTCCAAGGACCCATGTCCCCCCTTAAATTTGGTATTACGCCAAGATTAGATAAGGTGAGGGGTCTTCAATCTTCTGATGCAATTCACCATTGCCAAGTGAGTCGAGGATGGCGTGTGTTCTATCGAGCCTTTGTGTCGGACCGACCCGTCTAGAGTCCTCAGTCTGTATTCTTCTTGAAGGGCATCGAGCGCTACCTCTTTTGGCTGTGGAAGGTCTAGAGATCTCAAGGGCTCGGCGGATGCGCACACAACAGAACGTTTTATATAAAAAAATAGCTGGCCTGCATATACTTCAGGAGGAGTGAGCGTAAATGGCGGCCTCGGTTCCAGTCTGCATGGTGTGCAGGATAGGGCACAGGATAAAGCAAGTAGCACAGTCAGGAGATGAGATGGGAACAGTCAAAAGACGGCCAGGCCTGGTGTTTATGAGATCTCCATCGGTGCCGCAAATCCCAACCAAACTCCATGCGCCTATTTATTTTTATTTTTTATTTGCGATGTATCAGGTGGGCTGAATTCTTCCTTTAGTTTCTTCTCTTTGGCTTGTGACAACGCTAGTATATATTGCGATTTTGCGATAAGTAAACTCAGTTGTAAGTCAGCGCTGCGTCCGTGTTACTTCTTCGTCTGGCCCTCGTCTTTTCGCGCTGTTTTTTAATTCCGAAGTATGTACCAACTCGCCCAAGCCTCAACTTTAGCAACAGCAACAGTCGGGCAACATGTTTCTGCCGCCCGGCAACCGCGTTGTCCGATTTGTTGTCTGATAACCATATCACACCGCGCTGACGGCGGGGACAACACGGCGAACACTCCGCCATCTTGATTGTTTACCTTCGCTCGTGTGCGGCACGGCATCGCTGGAAATGTGACTCTGCAAAGTGCTAGTGCGTTCGAAGGGCCAGAAATTACGACGGGTCGGCATCAATTAGTGACTGCGACTGGAAAACTTGACACGGAGAGTATTTTCCACCCCTAATTTTATCAAAATGTTCTTCATTCGATGACAAAACAGATAGCCCAAACTGGGGAAAGTGAAATCGCTGATATATGTTCGAAATTTACACCGGACAGAAACACTTCATATATGAAGTGTTTCTGTCCGGTTCTTTCTTTCGTGCAATTCATACTTTTATGTGTAAAACTAAGTAAGCACCGGCAGTACCCAAAAGCGTCTTTTGTAGCGTGGTGTTGAGCTGAACTAACAGCGTTTCAAAACGGCGACGCCGACACGATCGGCCTTCATAACAATCGGTGGAATAAAACTTTTCAACGCTTCTACCCACCGCCCGCTATGTGATCGCTTCATTCCCGAAAACGTAATGAGTATTTTTTAAACAAATCGGGTGTCTGGTAGCGGCTGTTTCCAAGTTCCAAGCATCAACAATCATGATCAGAGTGGTCGTTTTAATGCTTCAATTTTTTTATCTTCGCTTTACTAGATTATCTTTATTATACTTTAGCAGCAGGTGAGTAGGCATGCCATATTATTTCACTAGCAGTAATGCGAGCTGGTTTCTGGACGGTTCTAATTTCAATGCTAGTCTTAACGTTCACGATCCTAGCTGTGACCATTTTGACAATCGCTTTCCGTAATTACACAGTAAAAACAATCATACAAATATTTTAGCTGCATGCAAGCCTTAATTATTATTAACTAATATTTTCCAAGCCTTTATTTGAGTAAGACGTTATTGATAGGGAACTAGCTCTGCCATCAAAGCTCTCTGTGTTGTTGTGTTGCCGGCCCGAAATTCGCTTAACCAGCGATCAGGGCAACACACGCTGTCCAACACAAGTTGCTGCTGTTTTTGTTGCCGAAAGCTCTTATACCGAGGCAACATTTTAGTTGTCGTCCATGTTGTGCTGCTATTGCCGCGATGTGCCAGGTTTGTCAGACAACACGGGGAGCGAGCACCAAGTTGCCAGACTGTTGGACAACGTGTTGTGTTGCTGTTGCCGTTGTGTTGCATCAGTGTGACAGGGCCTTTAGTGAGAGTGAGACGCTCGAACATTTTGTTTTGAAGAAAACTTGCCTTCGGCCTGCCCTCCTTGAAGAGTTAACGCATATGCCGGTGGCCCTGGGTTCTGATGGCGAAGGTCGAAGAATGGAGAAGGAACGTATTGCAGTCATAAAAGGTAGGTTAGAAAATTCGTGGAAAATATTCAGGGAAAACTGAATGAAGCAGCACGAACTATAGTCGGTTACAGGTTAAGAAGGTAGCGGCAAATGCCCCTCAAAGGGAATCGTAAATCCCTCCGCCACCTCCGTATCCAATAGCGTCCCATCGTTTCCGTGACGCAGTGTTGTACGGAACGGCGTTCCAAGGAACGGTGTTCCTGGAACGCGTTCCTTTTAGGAGGAACGAAGGAACGCCGCCGTTCCATTCTTAATTGCTGGAACTGGAACGGGAACTCGTTACATTTTTACGGGAACGGAAGATGGAACGGCGTTCATTTTTCTTCGTCCGGTGGGGTCATCTTTATTTTGTTTGTAAAAGGGGAATTTTGAAAAAAAAAAAGTATAAAAACATTATATTTACGAAGAGGAGGATCTCGTTCAGTATTTTTGTTACTTAGGGTTTATTTTGTGGGGTCCTCGCTTGGTAACAGTCGGGTGCAGGAGAGCTAGTGACCATTGATTATTTTTCCAGTGCCCGAGACTGCGGCGCAAAAATCAGAACATTTGGTCGAAGGAAGAGACAGAAAAAGGGACGCCTCGAACTCAGCTACTTTCCTTGCTTCCATGAATCCTCATACACCCAGAAATCTAAGGCGAACTGCAGCCATCACTAAACTTCTACAAATAAAAAAGTTGCATCAAACGCACCCTTGTATCTCAAACATTGGCCAGATGCACAGAAATTAACCTCCCTTCTCTGTCCTCTTCTCCCACCTTCAAACTGAACGAGTCCAACCTTCACGAAGAAGGACTGGTAGTTGTCAAGACTGACCTTCAAAAAGCCCTACCCTCTTCTCCATTTGCACGTCTTGCTTACAGCAGCATCGAGAAGCAACTGTTGCTAAGTTTGAACACGGGACTTTGTTAGATTGAAACGCGTGAGGTTGTTGTAAAACGCTCGTGCAATGGGGGTAACAGTATATTTGGCTCGTCTGAATTGTCCACCACAAACCTGACTATGGCAAAAAGCTGAGATTTTTTAAAAGCTCATATATCAACAAATGAAACCTTGCTTCCGCTTGTTTTCTTCCCCTACACTGTTAGCGAAAATGTAATATTTCGCCTGTTTACACCCCATTTTCACTCGTTAGCATATTTTTACACGCTCTGCTAGTGATAAATCGTCAAAAAATTACTTGGGGTAGTAAAAATTGGTGTTTCGGTTACGGTTTACACGACTAGGCGTGTAAGCAACACTGAAAACACCCCAGCCCAACACCCCAAAACGTCGAGCGGCATGTCGCTTCTGCCTTGAACGGTACGGCGGACGTAGCAGCCGAAGGTGAGTGTTTGATTTTTTTTATCAAGTTTGTATAGAATGTAGCACGTCTCAGATTTTTATTACATGACATTCAAGAACGTTAGATTTGCTTTAAGCAAGCCGGCTCAGGCGTTAAGCCCGATTCACACAACCGGCGTTTAGCCACCCGTCGATTGGAAACGACTCGACTGCTCGCCGGTTCTTTTGCGCGAGCTTTCGCTCGGGCGCTGTGAACCCTATGAACTGTGGTGCTCAAAGCTAGCACAATTAGGCACGGCTAGCGTCCCGGTGGAAGCTGCAGAGAGCGGAAACCGAAGACACCGTTCCATAAGAGTGGCGAAGCCGCGATCCTGCGCTGATCGTTGTCCCGCCGCTCTCTCCGG